AGGAACCGACGAAGGAAGAATCTGGTTTCGTCGCGAAGGATGGGTAGAGAAGTGAAGACGAAGGAAGAACTGAGGCTGGGAGAGAGGGAAGCTGGAAGGAAGAAGCCGACAGGGAGGAACCGAGGATCAGTCCTCTGGCGCCGACGGAGGACGAGAAGGAAGAAACGGCATCACTGTTACGACTTACGACGGTGAGGGTTTAGGATCTAGGAATTTCTTCATTATGACCGACCCAAAAAAATCATCGGTTATAATTAGATGGGTTAACCCAAAACCATAATCAAACGAAAATCAACCCATATATCAATTACCTCAATCTACATCGGTTCACAATTACATGGGGTTCAACCCAAAACCGATAATCAAACGCTCGCTAAACCATACACATAACCTCAATCTCACATCGGTTCACAATTACATGGGGTTCAACCCAAAACCGATAATCAAACGCTCATTCAACCATATACATAACCTCAATCTCACATCGGTTCACAATTACATGGGGTTCAACCCAAAACCGATAATCAAACGCTCATTCAACCATATACATAACCTCAATCTCACATCGGTTCACAATTACATGGGGTTCAACCCAAAACCGATAATCAAACGATCGCTAAACCATATACATAACCTCAATCTCACATCGGTTCACAATTACATGGGGTTCAACCTAAAACCGAAATCAAACGCTCCCTAAACCATATACATAACCTCAATCTACATCGGTTCACAATTACATGGAGTTCAACCCAAAACCGATAATCAAACGCTCATTCAACCATATACATAACCTCAATCTGACATCGGTTCACAATTACATGGGGTTCAACCCAAAACCGATAATCAAACGCTCATTCAACCATATACATAACCTCAATCTCACATCGGTTCACAATTACATGGGGTTCAACCCAAAACCGAAATCAAACGCTCACTAAACCATATACATAACCTCAATCTCACATCGGTTCACAGTTACATGGGGTTCAACCCAAAACCGATAATAAAACGCTCACTCAACCATATACATAACCTCAATCTCACATCGGTTCACAATTACATGGGGTTCAACCCAAAACCGATAATCAAACGCTCACTCAACCATATACATAACCTCAATCTCACATCGGTTCACAATTACATGGGGTTCAACCGAAAACCGATGATCAAACGCTCGCTAAACCATATACATAACCTCAATCTCACATCGGTTCACAATTACATGGGGTTCAACCCAAAACCGATAATCAAACGCTCATTCAACCATATACATAACCTCAATCTCACATCGGTTCACAATTACATGGGGTTCAACCCAAAACCGAAATCAAACGCTCACTCAACCATATACATAACCTCAATCTCACATCGGTTCACAATTACATGGGGTTCAACCCAAAACCGATAATAAAACGCTCACTAAACCATATACATAACCTCAATCTCACATCGGTTCACAATTACATGGGGTTCAACCCAAAACCGATAATCAAACGCTCATTCAACCATATACATAACCTCAATCTCACATCGGTTCACAATTACATGGGGTTCAACCCAAAACCGATAATCAAACGCTCATTCAACCATATACATAACCTCAATCTCACATCGGTTCACAATTACATGGGGTTCAACCCAAAACCGATAATAAAACGCTCGCTAAACCATATACATAACCTCAATCTCAAATCGGTTCACAATTACATGGGGTTCAACCCAAAACCGATAATCAAACGCTCATTCAACCATGTACATAACCTCAATCTCACATCGGTTCACAATTACATGGGGTTCAACCCAAAACCGATAATCACACGCTCATTCAACCATACGTAGTAAAAAGCAAACGAACAATGAATTTTAGAAAATATGTTAAGTAGTCTGACTGGTTAATACGCTGAATTATTATGCCAAGTGCTCTGGGTCGAACCTTCTTAATGTCGTTTTTTTTCACTAACAAGCGAGCCCACAATCTCACGGGTGTGAGATGGTCCCTTCAAGACCGTGAGGTTCTCTGAACATAGGGAATGATTTTTTGATTCTCAAGGCCCAGTCTCACGGGCGTAAAATTACCATCATTAAGGCGTTATAAAATACCATCTCACGGCCAAGTCTCACGCCCGTGAGAATTTACAGAGTGGCCGTGAGATGGCCATCCTTCATATCCAAAACACGGCTCATCTCACGGCCGTGAAAATGACGACGCCAACCCGTGACACTTTCTGGAACTCCACCTTTTTATGGAAAAAATCTCACGGTCTCTCTCACGGCCTATCTCACAGCCGTGATATTTCCAGAATTACAAATCCAAAAACACGCCTGCTTTCAGGTCCATTTTCAACCATTTTTCGGTATATGATCATGCATAATTTTTTCCTTGTCGACACATTAAACATAATATAGAGAAAAAATAACATCACTGAATAATGCTTCATTCATAACTTCAATGTAATTTCAACAGTTTCCTAAACTTCATTCAACATCTACATTCACTAAAATTCATTCAACATCTACATTATCCTAAACTTCAATCAACATCCACATTAACTAAACTCTACATTAACATCACAAGTCTCAATGCTTCTTAGACTTTCTACCCTTTTTCTCCCCATGCGCGTGCAACGGCTTTCTTCCTCGATTGAGTAAGTTTGTTTTGAAATTCACCTTCTCAGTCTCAATTTGGGCAGGTCTCGCATGTCTCTCAAAATATTCATCTGATTGTGCCTTAACTGTAGCTTTCACCTAATTCAGATCCGTAGTGAGCAAGTACATTGTAAGTTGTGCCCGCTCATAGTCACTGTGGAACTGGTCAAGCTTCTTGGAATATCGATATGGATCCAGCAAGTAATTGATGACAAATAGTCCACAATCAAATCTGTAATATAACAAATAATTACCATGGTCATGATGCGAACAAATAATTATCGAACTTAATTAGAACAGTGCACGATTGAACAACAACAAAGGGTACCCATTTGGTTGGCAAGCAACATCCTGGCGATATCTAACCACGAAGTCCACAAATGAAAACGCCCCGCAGATATCATCCTTAAGCAACCAATCTAGACCCAATTTCTGCAAATGAAAACATCCCCCTCATCGATATATAACGACAAAGTCGACAAATGAAAAACAACTAACAACTAAGCAATACGTAAAGCTTGAAAACTGGAAGAACAAGAAACAAACCAGTTTCTGCATCCTTGCATCATATTCTTCATTATGAGTTCCTCGTAATGAGTCCCAGATTTCAATTTCTTTGGCTTCCATGTTAAAGACCGCCAGATAGAAGTGCTTCAACGTGAGGTTGAAAATTGGGACATGAATCTGAAATAATGGACAAACAAACAATAATTATCAATTTAACATAGGAGGGTGAAGCCATTTCCTTTTAGAAAACAACATTACAACATACCTTACTGCAGTAAAGTAGCTCACCAATACAGTATCGCTCAAGTATCTTATATGAACGCATCTTAGCCATAAATTGCTCCTCATTGCAATGATTCGCACGATCCTAGAAAAATAAAACACAGTCACCCACACAAGCTACATGTAACAAAAAATAGATTAATTTCATGACAAGAATAGACAAAGCAGACAACTGTACCGAAACTGAAGGTGGAAAGAACCAAGACAAGCCACCACTGCGACCACAACTTCGTTCTTCTAGTGTCTTGCACAGACACGCCATTTCTATAATCTAATGCATCATCATCACATATACCAAAGTCAGCAATACACGTTCAATCTACTAAATTACACACATAAAGGAACTTACCCTTGTTGAAATTTTGGTCCTTGGCAAAAGCTCGACAAAATCTTCACGTAACAAGGAAAGAACCCCGCCACCAACACTAACCAATGTGTCACTGGTATACAATACCAAGTTCAAACAACACAACATTAGAATAAGGCAAATACCAAAAACATCCTACAAATATGATCCAATTTTACTTGTAATGATTTCGGGAGGTACCTTTCGGGAAGCTCACTACTAAAAGCAAATTGAATCATCTTTACTGCCTCCAGAGTCAATGGTGTCTGAACAACAAAGGGAGGAGCACGGTACAAAGGTTGTGCTTTCTTAGCTCTGGGATTTGCCCGTTCGAATGGAGAGACCACATACAAACTAGGCTTCAATTTAGACACACTACGTAGTCCACCTCCCTTTCGCCCCTTTCTTGTTCAAAAACATAAAAACAAAACCAGTTCATTAGTAACCACACCATAAGAACCAATAATTAGAAAACTTAATCAAGTGAAATACCTTCACAGCCTTGGAACAACCATCATTAGCAGCAACACTTTCATCACTCAACAATATGAATTTCTCAACTTGAGACGCTTTAGGCTGCTTGCAAGGAGACTTTTTCACAACTTTCAGAGAAGGAGATTCAGAACATCTGTCATCTCCAATTTTCCCCTCAGCTTCTCCCGAATTCTCAACTTTGGCAGTCTTGACACATTCCAAGGTAGGAGAAATGGGTTCCCTTGGTTTTTCAACCTCACCCTTCTGATCGTTCTTTTTCAACTCAGCTGTAGGAGAAATGGGTTCCATAGGCTGCTCCCTTGAAAACGGATCACCTACAGTTGCTTTCACTGCCTCTATAAGGGACTTCACTGCAGTACCGATTTCGTCTCTAAAAGCCCGAAATTCGTTCTCCATTTTCACAACCCGGCTCATTAGCTCATTATCTCTAGAAGCAGCATCACCCATTGCCACTCTAAATTCTTGACCAAAGTTGTCAATTCTACCCTCCATGGTACTAAACCGAGCATCAATACGCTCATAGAGAAGCAGCTCATCCCCGTCGGGTTTGTGCCATTTCCCGTCTCTTTTTCCCCGTTTCCTTGGAGGTGATTTCAAACCGGCATCCTCAGCTGATCTTTTCCCCGAACTGCTGGAAACCTATAAATTAATTAAAAAGGGAACCAAATGTACCATTAGCATGCTCCAACTTGTCAAAAGAATCAAATATACTATCAATCTTACCACTTTTGTTAACAATAACTCCACGTCTCCGCTCTCCCAACTCATCAAATCCAAACTCCCATCAATGGTTTGGAAAATACCATTTGCATGCTCCAAGAATATTAACTACAAAAAAATACTATAATCAACATGATGATTAATCATTACAAATATGTAGAAAGTCGGGATTAACAATTATTTACCTCCAAAAACAGCAAGCAACCCGGTATATACTCTCTCCTATAAGCATTATGGTCGCAGATGCATTTGACCAATATAATTCATTGAAGCAAAAGGATGCCCAATTCTTCTTCGGAATGTCTGCAACATCGGTGACAGCGTATACCGAAGACAAGGAAATGTCATCTCTTCTAGTTGGTACTAATAGCACCCCCATTACGTACAAAATAAACATTTGAAGAAATAGATCGTCGCTATCTTTCATCTTCGACAACGCCTTCTGCATTAAGCTTGTGGAAATCGCCAGTCGGCCACAATCACGTGTCGAAAACACTCTAAATGGTTCCAGTTCCTCTGATCTTCCCTCCACTTCTTCACCATTCAAGATGATATCAGTACCTCCCTCAGGCACGCCCATAATTCGCTCGAAATCTTTGGCCGAAATATGCACTTCCAACCCATACGCCTTAATTGTGCTTTCTTCCAGATTAAAGCTCTTCACAAGTTTCTCCAACAACTCACGTTGTATCTTTCTTGCTTTGACTTCAAGAATACGACCAAAGCCACATCTCATAATGGCCTCTGATTGACAAGCCTCTAAATTTGAGACTAGTGAGAATACTTTCCTAGGAGAACATCGCGTGCTGAAAATTTGATGCCTCTTCGTCTTCATTATAGAACAATTTTAGCAAACTGCAAAATTAAAACAACAGAAAAATTATAAGCATGCCTTGAAACACGAATTATAAGCATGCCGAAGAGTACAAACAAAATACAAGTTCTAACTACCAGAAGAACTGAAAACCCCCTACATCAACACCTGAGTACACTAATTAACCATGAAATCCGCCATTGGCATATATAAATTTCACCCAAAACACCCCGCTTTCATTACATTTCACCCAAAATGCAAATTCTCACGGCCGTGACATGACCCGTGACAAGCAAAGAGTAGTTTTCATATCTCCAGACAATCTCACGGCTTTGGCTTCATAAATCACGGCCGTTAAAATAAGTCGTGAAACTCCAAAACACCCAGATTTCAATAAACATTCTCACGGCTAATTCTGGAAATTTCACAGCCGTAACATCTTCTCATGAGATAAGCAAAACAGAAGAAAAGGTTTAATCATCTATTCACAGAAGAAAAGGTTTTCTCTTTGCAGTCTCAAACTTGTTATCAAGGTCATCGATCTCCGAAACTAGAGGGTGTGATCTAGCAGGCAAACTGTTGGAGCAAGCATGGAAAGAAGCAGGCTGCCATTTTTCCTGGTTTTCTTGATGTGGGGAAGTTGTATGAAGTTTGAAAGAGATGATTTGTACAGAGATTACTGACATGGTTGTTTAGATCCAAATCATTCACAACATTTTCTCATCTCATTCACCCATATATAATGAATCAGATGCAAAAGCAAACACAACAAAGAAAATGTTATTTTCAAAAGGCTATGCTGAAACCAGAACCAGCATATCCAGGATGCTACAGGACACTCAGGAAGATGGTCCCAGCGTGTGTTCGAATCGTGATAGGCCTAGTTTGATAATTGATCTACAGACATAAACAAAAACCAGTTGCTGTTTAAGTTTATTGCTGGTTTCTAAGCTGGGAAAAAACATAACCAAGTGGCAAGGTAGAGATGAACTAGCAGAGCAGATACTCGGCATTGTTGACTTAGTTTGGCAACTAGTCACAAGTTACTTGGCTTGGAGCCTGATTGAGAGAAATGAATGACAACAAGCACTCCAACACCTCAAAAACAGAAGATAAGCAAAACAAAAAAAAAATGTCACGGAAGATCAGGGAAATTGATAGCTCTAAGACCACTGAGTCGTTTGCTGAGGTTAGTTCCCCTAATAAACTCGAAACAGTATCTGTCTAGGGATGTATAAAACTCATTCCCGGCCTTGAGGCCTGATATGAGAAACTTAAAGAAGCAAAATTGACTATGAATGAACTCTATAAACAGCAAAAACCCTGAAAATAACTCGAACTCTAGTAGGATGTGGGAGATAAAAATTGACTATTAAGTAAACTCTACAAACCCATTCCTTACATCCCTAAAACCCAATCAAGACCAAAGAACTAAACAAGCAAGCAGACCAGCTACCGACTATCCACAAATCCGATCCAACCATACAAGTCCAGGAGATCAGCAGTTCCAGTGGTAGAAATTGGATCCAAACAAAGGAAGTAACAATGACTGATACCAAGACAAGGAAGTTAAAGACGAGAAAACAACTCTGCATCACAATCGCAAACCATCAGATGCAAAATTCAACCAAGTATTTCTAATGATGATTGTTCACTACCCAGCAAGGCAACCACAACCATGCACAACTCTCCCTTCAAGCTTCAATGTGTAAATCGACTCACAATGAACTTTAGTAGCAGGAAATCTATGGCTGTATGGTTAATGGAGGAGCAACCAACAACCACATTACACCACGTTGCTTTGACAAAGACCTCTCTGCCCATATGAAAAGAAGCTTTTTGGAATTGACAACATGTTCCTTCCCACTGGAGACACAGCCACACCAAGGAAAAAAGACCAGCAGAAGTAGAACATGCTACTTATCATGACAAGTTTAGAATCAACCAACTCACCCCTAATTCTGTAAACAATAAGACTGTCTACAAGATGAACTGCAATGGCTTTCAGAAGGATTTCGATCAACATCGACCTACATCTATGAGGTCCACAATTAAACCAATACCAGGACATCAACAAGCAACAACAAAACTTTACCAGTAGACTAAAACACTTCAATTCGCTTTAAACAATGCAATATGTTCTAATTGTAATCGTGCACTTGGAGCCTCCCATCACAAAAGTCAGCAAGTAATGAATGATCCTCCGCCCATATCAGCATACAAGACATCTTTATCGACCTTAAGAGCCTGCACACAAGGACCTTTATGCACTATCGTACTAAACTCGCCAACCCACAATCTTCTATCTGGTAAGTATCTCTAATAATCCTCCATTCTTTGTTCCAAGGTTTACCCATCTAGTTGGTACAAGCTGTACTTTTACCATTCTGAACCATTCTTTGGCTATCCCACGATCAACTTTCTTACCACTCACTAACCATCCTATGATTTGGCAACCGATCCTTAGTAGACAACTTGACATTTCCAGAGAAATAAGTCAGACATTCAAAGACACCATTATTGTACTCGAAGCTGCTCCAACAAATGTTCTAGAAGCTAGAAGCTAGAAATTGAATGTTTATCAAAGAGAGATAAGAATTTCAGCCACTTACATCGAATGAATGACTGAGTCGTCGTTTCAAATCAGAAATCGAATGCTTTATCGCCCAATTCTCGCTATTGCAGGAGTTCTCCTACCCGGCGCTAGTTGACTCGTCATTTTCGATTGGGCTTTTCGAGTCTTTGATTCCTTCTGAGTCTTCCTCTAGTAAAAGAGTCTCCGCCACCTTCAGAATTCAAGTCCTCTTTGTCGTCGCCACTGCTCACCCCCTTTACTATCTACGAACAGACCCACCGCGAAACACAATCCCAGGAGAGGAAAGTTGAAAAACGATCAGACCCACCGCGAAACACAATCCCAGGAGAGGAAAGTTGAAAAACGATCAGACCCACCGCACAATCTCACCGTTTCCGTCTCCGATGCTCAAGCCCTTCAATATCGACGAAGAGACCCACCGCGGAAGAGAACAGTTCACAATCGCGAAAGTGTAAAGTTGAAACCCCCCAATTTCTTTCTTCTCACAACGTCGCTGTCGCCCTAGATGCAGGTTCGCCGTCGCCGTCGCACTATTTCAAATGCAGGTTCGCCGTCGCCGCGGAAGAGACGCTCTGAAATTCCACCTCGGAAGAGAAGCTCTGAATTCCGACAAGCTCAATCGCCTTTACCCCGACTGGATTTCAATTTTTTTAAAATTATTGTGTAACGAACCGGTGCAATAGGTTACCAGTCCACAAGTGAAAATAATAATAATTAAATAAATTCAATCCAATGGCTGATATTTTATAACAAGATCTAATGGCTCTAAGTATATTAAAGCATGGGTACTATATAGCATACTAAAATGCCTCCAATGACTTGAGCATGTGTATCTTGTTTTTGCAACAAAGAGTGTAATTATTGGTGCACCCAACATTACAATCAAATTGTCATGGACGACCCTGCAAAACACAAGCAACTTGCATTGGTACTACATCACACAAGACACCATCCTTATATTTCCCAATTTCAAAGCTCAAAAGCACTTGTGTTGTCACCTCAATCCCACCATTCTCAATAATCCGATCAAGTGTTCAACATTTTCACTCACAACATTGGTTCATCTTCCTCCACCAATCCCCATAGAAAATATTGTATCTTGCACCAAACACCTCATAAGATACAGATTATCCCTTCATTCAATTTCTTCTTTTAGAAGTGTAATCATCATTCCTCTTGCAACTATATATAAGTCACCTTCGATGGGTGCTTCTTCTTCTTCGTTTCCATCCTTGACATAACCATCCGTTACTTTTCCATCCTCACATTGATATTCTCCATTGTTGAGCAAAATCGTTACTTATTTGTTAGGGCATTGAATAACCATATGCCCTCTACCTTGATATTAATAACACATGATGAAGCTTGTAGGAGTATTTATTGATGGTTGTTTTCTTTTGTCAATATAGATGGTTGAGTTGGTCGACTAGCTGGGTTAGGATCTTCTCGTTGTGGGAATGAAGCTTGCGTTGCATTTACTCGATTTTCATAGGTTGGTTGTGGTGCATTGGTTGTAAGAGGAGCCCAACATGTGTAACTTCCTTTTTTTCCCTCCACCTTCAGCACCATTTGTACTAGCTCTTTCACCCCAACAAAAGTATGAATCTACACCACATGCCTTATTTCACGATTCAAACCTTTGAGAAAACAAGTAATGGTGGCTTTCCTTATCTCTATTGACATCAGTCCGGAACATTTGTAACTCCACACCCTTATAATAATCTTTCACCTCTTAGAACCTTGTTTTGGAAGTTGAAGAGCTTGATGCATTTCTCATTGATGGTAGGCTAGAACATACCACTATCTCACTATGCCCTTCGTTTTTCTCCAATTTGAGATTGGTTCTTGACTACTAAGTCTTCTTCAAGTACATAGTTGATCCCACCATAGAATCTCATAATTGTTAAACTCCAAAGTTGCTAGAGTCACCTTTCATCATTAAGAACAATCGTTGCACTTGAATATCATCTCCAACTTTCTCTCAATATCCAAATATGATTATGGATCAATTCAGCCTTGAAATGGTGGAATTTTAATTTTGATATCCTTTATTTTGTCTCTAGGTGCCACATAATCCTCATACTCCTATCCATCTCTATCTTCCTCTTCCAATCTTCCTCTTGTCGTCGAATGTGAAGAATGA